ATTTCTTGCTGGGCTGTTTCACAAAATCCTAGCCAGGACAGCTCCGTGCAGCTCCTCGGGGAACTGGGTGCAGCCCAGAACGGGCGTAGCTCGCGGGCTGCCTCTCTACCACGCTCACCTCTCACAGCGTGCGGCTCTTGCCCGGGATCGGGGCGGGAGTGATAACGTGGGATGGAGGGGAGCACTCGCTGCGTGGACGAGGCGGTTGCGGTGTGCAGTTCTTACCGGGGCTGGAATAAAACCCCAAAGACAAACCCAGGCGAGGCGAGCTTGGGCCTCTCCTCGTTGGCTGCGTTCACAGAGCGCAGGAGTGTTTGCGAGGCTCTGTGCTCGCTTTGCCGCCTTACGGCTGCGTTCCGGGCTCGTCTCTTCTGCGGGGTGTGAACGCGGTGGGGGTCGGGACCGTGCGCGCCGGGAGCGGAGCGGGGCAGCGGGCGCCAGGCCCGGCCGCGGGCGCTCGGGGTCTGGAGCTCGGCACCGCGGCGCGCCGGGGGGCGAGCGCAGCGCTTGGCGGAGGCCACACCTGCACCTCATTTGCTTCCGAGCCGCGCCACGACCCGCCTGCTGCTGGGGCGCCTTCCCTTTCATCCTCGGGATTATGACAAGTTATTAATTGCCACCATTAGCCGCAGCAGCCTGCCCGAGATCTCTGCTGCTCTCTGGAGGTGAGAAACTGCGCATCTGAACGCCGAGGGAAGAGGCGCCGAGCAGTGCGGGCCAAACGGAGCCACAATCTGCCCAAAAGGGATTGTGAGATGGTGAATAATTTATTAGAAAACATTTTTCTTTGTCCTTTCCACAGACCCACAAATCCTCCCCAAGCGCTCTTTTCCCAGCCTTGCAGATAATGTACTCACACATCTCAGAGCCTACTAAATAGACTGACGAGGCTGTGGGGTTCACCCTCCACGCAGCGGCTGCCAGCACCGCGCAGACCCGCGCGCTGCCTCTGCCAACGGCCTGGCGATGGAGGCCAGGTCATTAGGCGTCTTTGCCCAGCAGATAGGAAAGAACGCTGCCATGGCCGCCCTGCCTTCTTGCCCGGCTTCTGCCTCCCACAGACCACGCAGACACCTGCACACCTGCTTTGGATTTGCACAGAACTCCAGGATTTCGTTCTGCATCACAAGTAGCCACTGAACTTCTGCTATCATAGGGAATTAGGTGCTCTGATCCTGTCTAGGCAGAGGTAAGACCTCACCGTGTGCACAGGCACACCCAGTGGCATCTGAGAGAGTCCTGAGCTTATTCTCTTCTGGGGATGCTTGGGAGGAAAGATCCAGGCCTGGATCTCAAAGAGGTGGAGCTGCAGTAGGGGATCCATGCAGGTAGACAACTAATTGGGCTGCAGACCCCCAGAGAGTGGGTGGTGGTACAGAGGAGAAAGCGGTTAATTCAGGGACCAAGCAGAGGCTTAAGGAAACATTGGGATTAAACACATTGGGATTGCATTTGATTCTGTCCTAACAATAGAACGTACATTTGGCCAACATTTTCACAAAGAAGGCATCGGCTGGAATGATATTCCCAGTACCGACAGAATGCCAAGCCTTGTTGGTTTCTTCTCCTTCAGGACTGCAATCAGAATTTCCTTCAGGCCCTCTGTTGGTGGAGGTTGGCCCATTTTTGTGGCCAATTCAGAGATTGCTCAGTGGTTGGATGCTGGGTATTTCTTTGCTATAACCCAAAAGGCTTCTGCCTTGGGCACCAGGAAGGTGGAGGGACAGAGAAGCTTCCCACAGGGACAAACACAGAGACCACGAGGAGAGGCGCAGCCCCCAGGAACTAGAACTGTGCCGGGGTGTGGAGAGGTGGGGAGGCGCAGGGACACTGCTCTGCACTGCAGCCAGGGTCATCTACCCAAGGTTACAAGCAACCGGGGTCAGTCCCCTGCCCGAAAGCCCTCTGTGTCTCCCACTGCCCTCAGAACACACGCAAGGTTGCTCAGGATTGAGACTCTACCTGCCTCCCTGGTCTTCATGGCTTTCCCTCCTCCCTCTCTTTCTCCAAGACACGTGACCATTTGTGTATAGTCACCGACACATACACACCACAATACATGCTGTGGCCACACTCGCTGTGGCCAGACATGCCTATTCAGGTGAACCACATAATTTATGCCATTTTGTAGATCAAAGTCAATCGAACAGCAGCGATTTCATATGAGTCAACTGAAAATAACACAGTTGTCATCTCTGGATCCTTGTCATGCCCTTCTTCGTGCCCAGAGCACTTGTCTTTGCCTGCCAAGCCCATGCTCATCCTTCAAGGCTCTGTTTCGTATTTAGATGCACCTCCTTAGAGAAGCCCTCCTCACCATGCTTGGATGGATGACCCTCTTCTGTATTCCCAATGCACCCTCTGCCTACCCTCTTTTTGATACGCAGTACATCCTACTGTAAGGGTCCCTCTCTCTCCCACTCCTTCCAGTCTGTGTGTCTCTTCAGTGCACACCTGTATCTGACTATATTCCTAGAACCTAACCTGGTGCTGGCAGAGTGTAGATTCTCAATAAAAGCCTGATGAATGGGTGAGCGAGATGATGGATGGGCAAAGTAACTGGGAATGGAAAAGGAGTCACGGAGGTGACTGAGTAAGAGCTGGGGTCAAGTGGAAGAGGATTTGCATGGTAACAAAGAAGCAAGAAGCTTGGTCAAGATGTTGGGAGTTATAGTGGGGATTCTTTAGGGTGCTACGGGGATGGGACACGCCCAGCCCGTGATAAGGCCTGTGAAATTATTTGGTCCAGCCCTGCCAAGGCTACTTCAGTCAGGGCTCAAAATTCAATAAATCTATAGCAGGCTAATTTTTAGGCTGATAATTTTGAATGGACTCTGAATGATGTTATCAATATCTAAATGGCCCTTGGCAGAAAGAAGTTCCCCACCCCATCAACTAGATGAATCAAAGAGGCTCTCAATCCCTACTATTTTAATTTTTTAAAGATTTATTCATTTGAAAGGAATGACACAGAGAGAGAAGGAGCGAGAGAGAGAGAGGGAGGAGAGTGCCAGCTTCCAACCTTTGGTTCACTCTCCAAATGCCACAACAGCCAGGACTGGGCCAGGCCAAAGCCAGGAGCCAGGAATGCCATCGGTTTCCACGTGGTTCTGCTGCCTTCCCAGGCACGTTAGCTGGAAGCTGGACTGGAAGCAAATAGCTGGGACTCAAAGCAGCAGTCTGATGTGGGATGCTGGTGTCATACGGCAGCTTAACCTGCTGGGCCATGATGGTGCCCTCTCCCTGCCATTTTTAAAAACAACTATTTTTCTCCAGAATACATTTGCCTGCATAGAGGAGGTGCTCAATAAATAGTTACTGAATTAAAAAAAACAAATAAAGGAATGATTATTTGATGCCAGTTTTAGCTAGAAAGCATAATGGCTCTTACTGAGTATTTAGTCTGAGCTTGCCATACATTCTTACTCATGTTTTGAGTTTGAATGTGCTTTCATGACAACCACAATGAGCGTTCCAATCCTCCTGCTGTTACTGACAGCAGGGGCTTTATGGATAAATTACAAATCAAATGTAGGTATACATGCTCCTGCATGCACACAGTAGAAGGGATATAGTTCGTTCATTAATTTGGCCAGAGCATTTAGAGCACCCAAATGAGTCAGGCCCCGTGGCTGGTACCAGCCACTCACTCCTACCAGCTCCTGCTCACAGACCACTGTGAGAGATAGTCTCGTGTATAAAACATTCCAGCTGGGTGTGATCAGTGCACCAACCCAGGGAAGCCAGTGTTCCGGAAGAAGAGAAGAGGAAGAAGAAGGAGAAGAGAAGAAGACGCGAGTAGATCAGGCTTGGGAGGGTCCCTGAGATTTGAAGAAAGGTTTTCCTGGGGGCAGCTTGTGCCAGCTGTCTCTTCCAGGTTGCAGAAAGAGTGCAGTCAGCCTCACCCATGGAGAAAGGAAGATGAAAACAGTGCAAGGGCTCAAGCACTAAAAGAAGACTCTTGGTGAACTGGAATCATTCATCCATCCATTCATTTATTCAAGACAGCGAAGCCTGCCAATAGTTCATAGACTAAATGATTGTGTCTCTGCCACTGCCTCCCTCTACCCACCACCAGGCTCCCAATTCATGTGCTGAAGCCCTGCCTCCCAGTGTCTTCCTTTTGGGAGCAAGGGAATAATTAGAAGAGGTCGCAAGGTGGATCCTGATCTGATAGACTCCATGCTTTTACGAAGTGACATCAGCAGTTCCTCCTCCTTCCGTGCGCATGCTCCAAGGAAAAGCCCCATGAAGGCGGTCTGGTGAGGAGGTGAGCGTCTGCAAGTCAGGAAGATGTCCTCACCAGAAAGCCACCGTACTGGCGCCTTGATTTGGGGCCTGGAGCCTACAGAATGCAAGAAAATGAATTTCTGTTGTTGGAGCCGTTCCAACTACAGTATTTTGTTCTGGCAACCCAAGTAGACTAAAAAAATCATACAAAGGGTCTTCAAAAAATTCTTTGAAAATGTGCATTATGATGAAAACTATGCATAAATTTCAAATTTATTTGGTGCTAAAATAATCTTTTAATTCCTTTATTTCACCGACTTTTAGAACGACTTTTCATTCATGCTTCTAGCACTGTATGAGTGACCCAAGATAAATAAGACCACTCACTTCCCTGAACAGCTCATGGCTACATATGAGACAGACTGATCAATAAACACTGACCAAAGTAAACATCTGGTAGATTAGGCCATCACCTGCTTGAAATAATCAAGATTTATGAGTATTTTATTAGGTGAACTATTTTATCTGTTCTTCATTAAGCACACTGAGTATGATTGGAGGATTCGATGTGGGAGCCGTGCAAACTGTTTACCAATATTTCAATTTTTTCTCATCATTGACACATGCCTTATGTACCTGAAGTTAGCTGATAGGGGTATGTGTTTGCTTTAAAAAATGAAGTGTGAACAAAGTGACAGATGTCACTTGCAGGCAGGGACCTTTAAGAGCAGGTGAACAGTATGCCAAGTTCCCTTCCCCTATATACTAACCATAAACTTTCCAGGAGAGAGAGTCTCTATCAGCCTGCATCTCTGAGTGGGACAACCAGGAGCAGTGGACCTAGGACAAACAGGCAGTATAACAAAGGAGCTGTTAGTGTTTTATGCTGCTATTCTGGGGTTATTTGTTATTGCAGCAAATCTAATCTGACTAACGTGAACTAACCTAACCAACAAGACCTAACATGACTAATGTGAACTACATTAACCAACATGACCTAGCATGACTAACGTGAACTGCATTAACCAACATGACCTAGCATGACTAACGTGAACTACATTAACCAACATGACCTAGCATGACTAATGTGAACTAACCTAACCAACGTGAACAATGGGACAGGTATTTGGCAGAGCAGCTAAGTGGCCAGTAGGGACATCCACATTCCATACCAGAGGGCCTGAGTCTGAGTCCCAGCTCCACTCTCAATTCTAGCTTCCTCTTAATGTGCACCCTAGGAGGCAGCAGGTGATGGCTCAAGGACTTGGGTCTCTGCCACCCGCATGGGAGACCTGAATGGAGTTCTAGGCTCCTGGCTTTGGCCTGGTCCAGCCCTGGTTATTGTGGGTATTTGGTGAATGAACCAGTGAATGGGAGATCTCGGTCTCTCTCTTTTGCTGCTTTTCAGATAAATAAAATAAAAAACTTTTCAAGTGAAAAGAACAAGAATTTATTTGTGTTCTGACTCTGGTAGACATTTGGGGATATTGGTTTTGCCACTTGAAGCCCAATTGTAAGGAGGTTGAGGACTGGGTTACCAGGCTCTGCTCTGCTTGGGGGTTACATTTATCCACTTTCAGTTATAAAACACATTAATGGATTTCCTTACGAGCAATAAGCAGTTAGGGTTTTTCTTCCTCATCCACCTTTTCAGGGTTACCTCCTTCAACTTCCATATAAAATCTGTAAGCAAAGAGCTTCTTGTGAGAAGCTATGTCCTTTAGAGACTCAAATGACAAAGGGTATGGCTCTTTCTAATCTTCCAGAAGATTTTGTCCTTTGATGTCCTAGTCATGGGCCCAGAAGCAGAGGGCTCTAGCATCATCTGCCTTTAACTACTTGCTGTGCTATTTACTAGCCATGTAGTCCTGGACAAATTAATCAATGTGTTAAACTTTATTTCTTCTCCTGTACAAGGAAAATGATGATCATATCTACCTTGTGGGAGTGTTTCATAGAATTCAATAAGATCAAGCACATAGAGCTCAATAAATAGTAATTATTAGTAGTATTATCATTATTATTTTACTCTCAGGATAGGTGAAATACAAAACCTAAACTAAATGTCCAATGTCCATATCGCCAAAGCCATGAGTATTCTTGAAGAATGTACTTATGGATGAGCCGGGAGAAGGGGGTTTGTATTATGATCTTCAGGCTCCAGCCCAAGGTCTGTGATCTCCTGGCACCCAGAGCTTCCAGAGGGAGAGCAGATCCCAGAAAGGTTCCATTCTGATCGGCATGCAGCCAAGAGTGGACCTGAGTTGAAGCTGGTGTGGGCACACAGTGAGCTGGTTCCGCCAGATCTGGGAATGAGCCACCTAATATGGCTTCTCTTTTGGATATTTAGCAACTTGCTCTTTGGAGAAAGATTATCTCCTTTTTGAAAGTAACCTGACCACCTGTCAAAGCTGGACTCGTGAGAGGAATCGAGAGGCTAACACTGGGCAGTCTGGCCAGGCTCTCATTTGGGTAATTACACTGGCAGTGGCTGCTGCACTCCACATCAACTTGGCTTCCAGGCTCAACCACGTTCTGCGGCTGCTGGTGTGACTGAAGCAGCACCTGGGAACTGCCCAACATGGGTGAAGAAGTAGGAAGTGTGATTGACACGGGGCTCTGTGCTGAGCACTTGTGCTATGGAAATGATTTTCTCTTTGAGGAAAAGTGGCAACCAAGAAAAGAAGAAAAATGAAGAGGGTACCAAACATCCTGCCTCCTCTCACAAACACAGAACATTGTGAACCAGTGGACTGAAGATCTCTCTCTCTCTCTCTCTCTCTCTCTCTCTCTCTCTGAAAGGAATAGTCACAGGAATAGTTGCAGGAGTGAAAACATTGCAATGCATTGCCAAGGACCCCACCGCCTGCCTTGCCTCTATTTGAAAGGGAGAGGGAGAGGGAAAGGGAGAGGGAGAGGGAGAAAGTCGATCCACTGGTTCACTATCCAAATGGCTGCAACTAGTGGGGCTGGGCCAGGAGCCTGGAACTCCTAGGAGTCTGGATCTCCCATGTGGGTGGCAGGGCCCCAAGTACTTGGGTTATATTTTGCTGCTTTCCCAGGCACATTAGCAGGGACCTGGATTGGAGATGGAGCAGCCAGGACTCATATGGGATAAGGATGTTGGTGGTGGTGATTTAGCCTGCTGTGCCACAATGCCAGTCCCATACACACACAAAATTCTTGAACTCTGGGCTCTATTTGATACATTTCTAATGGTGTTTAGCAAGGGCCAAACCATGCACTATGGACCAGTGATGCAGCAATTCTTAAGGCCTTTGTTTTCTCTATAAGGAACTGTAGTCTTGCAATAATTCAATAACCCACTCATTCAACACATTTATCAGCACCCATTATATGTCGGGCGCTGTGTTGTATCAGGCATGTAATAATGAACAAAATGGAAAGACCCCTGCCCTGGTGGAGCTGAGAGTCTAGTGGCAGACCTGGATATAGTGAGGTCAAATAACTACACAAGAAAGAATTGATTCTATGTCAGCAAAGGAAAACAGTGCGACACGTAAGACAGGACATATGAGAGGGGTTGGTAGCAACATTTAAGCAAATATTGATAGTGCACCAGGAAAGGTGCAGGCCAAGGGCTTCCGGAGTGCAAATGTCAGTGTGCTTACACAGCCTCCCTGCTGCAAGTACGGAGCTGCTCTGTGGGAACCCAGCTCAGGAATCAGACACCACACATACATCAAAGAAGTATTTCCTCGGAATGCGAACCACGAGGGATCTAAAATACTGGCCTACTGAAACTTTCATTTTATGATGTTTCTGTAACTGTATGGATATCTGAATTGCTTTATGGATCATTTATTTTCCAAATATTAAGCCATTTTATAGCATGATACTTATCACGGAAGCAATTAGCATATTTTGTGTCTCAGTTCATTTTGTCGTTGCTGTAACAGAACACCTGAGACGAGGTAGTTCATAAAGCAAAGAGGACTATTTAGGCTCATGGCTCTAGAGGCTGGGAGGTTCAAGATCAAGGGACTGCCTCTGGTGAGGGCCTCATGCTGCTTCAGACCAGGACAAGAAGTTGAAAGAGGAGAGCGGACGCTCACAAGTGTGGGAGTAGTCTTGTCATCAGCATTCACCAGTCCCTTCGTTCAGCACATTTGCTGACACCCTTGTGAGAGCAGAGAGGGCTGAACTGCCATAGCTGGCCCCTTCCCACCAGAAAGACTCAAGCAGCTGCCACTGGGCCCTGCCTCTTCACATTAAGGAATTAAGGTTCCAACACGTGAACTCTGGGGGCTCGCCCTCAACCCATAGCACCTAGCTTCCTCCTGCATGCTCTCTCTGACTGCTCCACACCACCCACCTACATCCTGCCATGGATCTTCAGGATTCTTTTCTATTGTCTGTAATTCCCTGTGCCCGCCCATGTTACAGTGCTTTTCACGTTTTAATAATCGTTGACTTGCTTTGCATCCTTCACCTTCTTGGCCTCTTCCTTTGAACTTCAGAGAGAGGCCCTGCAGCCTTGACCTCCCTGGTGTTTTTGGAAGCCCCTCTGGCTGCCTTCCTGTTGTAAAGGGACAGTGATGATCCTAATCCATCTTAATCCTGAGCTGGTGCTCCCTTTGGCTAAATGTATATGAAAAACGCCATTCAGGGGGTCTGACCCAATAAAACCTTATCCTCAGGGCAGTTAAGGTGCCTGTTGGGATGGCCACATCCCACATCTGGGTGCCTGGGTTTGAGTCCTGGCTCTGGCCCCTGACTCCAGCTTCCTGCCAGTGAAGACCCTGGGAAGCAGCTGATGATGGCTCAAGTAGGTGAGTGTATACCACCTACATGGGAGACCTGGACTGTGTTCCCAGCTTCTGGCTTTGGCCTGGTGCGTGGGGCATGAATCCACAGATGGGAACTCTCTTGTTTCCTCTGTCAACTTGTCTGTCTCTGTCTCTCTTTCTCTCTGCCTTTCAAATACTTAAAATAAATAAATAAATAAAACGTTAAAATGTACAATATAGTCTCTTCCTTCAAGGTAGGACTCGGGGGCTGGTGCTGTGGCGTAGTGGGAAAAGCTGCTGCCTGCAGTGCCAGCATCCCATATGAATGCTGCTTCGAGTCCTGCTTGCTCTACTTCTGATCCAGCTCCCTGCTAATGAGCCTGGGAAAGCAATGGAACATGGCCCAAATCCTTGGGCCCCTGCACCTGTGTGGGAGACCTGGAAGAAGCTTCTGGCTCCTGGCTTCAGATCAGCCCCGCTCAGGCCATTGCAGCCATGGGGAATGAACCAGTAGATGGAAGACCTCTCTTTCACTCTGTCTCTCCCTGTCTCTCTATTTCTGTAACTCTACCTTTCAAATGAAGAAATAAATCTTTAAAAAAAATTGCTAGGACTCAGGCAAATGGCAGTCATTGCAATGTTTCCACTCCTGTGACTATTCCCGGAGCAATACAGTGTAGTGGATAAGAGCATAGTCTCCGGGTTCAGGCCACCTGGGTTCTGTGCCTCCATTTCCTCATCTGTAAATTGGGGATGGTGATGTTCCCATCTCAGAGTGTTGTGAGGAGTATTGAATGAGTTATCCTCATCTAATACATGTGAAGCCTCTGAACAATGCCTCTCTCTTTAGACAGTTCCCAGCACTGCACTAGGTACTGCGGGACCAAAGAGTGACACATTCATGCACTAAATATTCTTAATGCCATCTCCATGCCAGGCACTGTGCCAGGTGTGATAAGACAACAGGGAACAAATAAATCTCATCCCAGCCTTCAAGAGTTGACAGTACTCCTGGGGTACATTGTTCTGTGATGCCGGAAGTCCCCCGCTGACAGGTGGGGGTCAGGGGAGCCTGCCTGCCCTGGAGGACGGTGCTAGGACCTTGGAGGCCTGCAGGTGGGGACAGGCGTGTTCTGGACACGGGAAATGGTAAAAGGGAGAGAGAGTGATTCCCTAGGCGGGAATGCAGGGAGAGGGGCTAGGAGAGCATGGAGGGGAAGACGAGGAGGGGCCTGTGGGGGGCTTCTTGGTGTTGAAAAGTGCTGTGCACACTGAGGAACAACTGGGAGGGTGGCAGAGAGTGAACAGCCAGGTCTGGTGTGCACCACCATCTTGACACTTCTCCCACATGGCCTTATAGTAGGTCCAAAGTACACTTGTACTTTCTCCAATCACACTGTGAACTCCTTGAGGTGGAGACCTGGGTCTTCTCTTTCTTTGAATCCTCCCTAGCCACTGGTGGCCTTCTGAGTGACTAGGCCCCCAGCTGGCCATCTCTAAGCACCTCTTACATACTCTCAATTCCAGCACTGTTCCCATCACCTGCCAAGGACCCCACTGCCTGCCTTGCACACCATGGCCCGGGCTTCTTCCTCCACCCCTGCCCTGGAGTTATGACTCATGCTTCTGGTGCTTTACCCAGGACACCTGCTCCAAATCCCCCATCATTGTTCCCTGAAGAAATTTCATTCTCCCTCACCAGACCCTCTCTCTGGTCCCCATGCCATCAGTCCACTATGGTTATTTTACTCTCTAGACAGTACAGGGGGATAGCAATGGCTTGGAATCACCCAGAGATCTAAGCCTGAATCCCATCTCCTAGCTGTGAGGCTGTAAGCAAGTTCCCTAAATCTCCCTGGGCTCTATGAGTCTCATCTGTAAAATGGAGCTGATCATGCCCACTGAAGGCTTGTTGTGGCAAGGACTAAATAATGGTTCTATAACCAAGATGCTGGTCAAACATAGTAGCAAGCTCCCTGCCAATAGGTACAGTATGTACTTTCCAAATCTTGAGCTCTCCATGTCTATATTTTCTTCTTGTGGTAACTGATTCAGTTCCCAGAAACCTTGTAAAACAGTCAATTAGGGTCAATGAAAGATAATTTCTTGGCACCAAGAACTCTGTTTTCAAGATCCATCCTGCATGCAAGTTATTCTCACCCGCTGCTGCTAACACGTTTCTGAACTCACCTGTTGATAGTGATGCCAGACCTGGGAGCTGTCAGTGGTGCTCATTCATAGAGAACACGTGATTCTGAAGTTGCTTTTCTCGAGACCAACTTGTGTATGGCATCCAGAACAATTAGACCCTGATTTCCAGGCCACATCTCCATCAAGACACTGATGAGTTCTAAACCCAGGAGCTTTGCTCAAGTCACTGATGGCAGTGGCAACAGCAGCATCCACGCCCTTGGATGGAATCATGACCTCATAATTAGTGAGTCCGTTCATTATCTTGGGACAGGGTGACGCACAGGAAAGAAAAAGAGTGAGGGAGATTTAAAAATGTGAACCAGGAAAGGAAGAAAGATGAAAACCACTTAAAACTCACGCATGTAATTTCAAGATCTCTGTACCCATATACTGAAGTTTGGGAGACATAACGGACACAGGTGCTGGCTGCAGCGCCACCTCAGGAAGAGCTGTGAAGTGCAGCGTGTCTGCCTTCCCCATGGTCCCATTGCCATGCTCTCAACTATCCGTGAGGACGAGAAGGAAGATGTGAGGAAGGAGGAGAGGAGAGAAGGAAGAGAGGAAGCCAGCAACTCACGGAGCACCGTCTACCACCATCTACAACGTGCCGGCCTCCTCCGATCCATTGACATGGTGTTGGGCACACACATACTGGTTCAGAGTCCACTCTTGGCTGACCTGGGCGATGGCCTCAGTTTCTTTACATGTAAAGTAACATCAAAGTGATCGGGGCGTGAAATAAGATCACATATATTAAGCCCTTAATATACAAAGGAAGTGCTCAATAAGCTCCTAACACTATTTCATTGTTTTCCCACCAAAGGGTGAAGAGGGGCCGCAGTCTCATCTTGTGAATGAAGCCATGGGTGACTGGGGACGTGATGTGGCCCATGAGATTTGTGAAGGTGAGGGCCATGTCCAACTCTGTCACTGCTGCTCATGCACGTCTCAGGGCCACGGGAGTCTCTGGTGGACGCCCACAGTTCAGGAAGACTCAGATTCCACCGGCCCTTATCCAAGGCCAGTGACCCTTCCAGCGCAAAGTGGCTGTCCCCAGACAATCCTCTGTCCCCATGGGCAGACACAGAGTCGTGGCTGAAAGTATAGGCTTGAGAGCAAACAGCCATGGCTCAGGTCCTACGTTACATCGCTGCTTTATAAGTCAACTATTTATATCTTACTCTCCATGCCTGTGCTTGTCCCGTCCCTTAGTCTTTTGGATATTCCAGAGCATCTCAAAGGGAAATGAAGGAAAACGAGGACTCTGGGGCAGAGTCTTAAGGAAGAGCCCCACCCTTGGAGGCCAGATGCTGGTGACAAGACAGGAAAACTGCAGGGATAAGCTAGGATGGTGCACCTGGAGGCTGTGCTGTAGATGGCAAGAGAAAGAATAAAAGAAGGCAGATTTGGGAAGGGAGCTAGTAGTTGCTGCGCACTGCTTGTGCTTGGTGTTTTGTACGAGGTGCCTCATTTTATTCCCATAAGAGCTCTGTAAGATTCCCATTCTACGGATAAGGCAACAAGGATGAGAGGGGTTAAATCCCATCAGCTACTTGAATCCATCTTGGTAAGTGGCCAAATGAGACTCTTTTTCCAGGCTACTTTGGCCCCAAAGCTCAGTCTCTTTCCACAAGTACGGCTGCCTTTTCTTTAAGGTAAAAGAAAATAAAAACAGATTTGTTGGCTTTTAAGTTTACCAAGAAGTTTCATCTCCTACTGCGTCTCCACTGGGAAGTGATTTATCTTTGTTTGGAAACAACACCCACGTCCACATTCGGCTCTCAATGCACTTGACCTCTTTTTAATGCCCCACACCTATCAATGTAATGTGGAATCTGCAGCGCCCTGGTTCCTGGAATCTTATTCCATGGCCAGGTGACAAATCTGTGCCTCCTTTAAAAATAATGATTTGTGCTCAGCGGGAGTTTTTGTAGCAGAGAGATAAATAAGCATATTCTTTTCTATTTTAAGATATAATATTGATTCTGTTTCTTATAACACAAGAGAGAAGTAAGTGAGAAATCAGAGAGCTGGCTTAAAAATTGAACCCTGTAAAGTTTACAAGCAATCTACAGTGAAGCTAAATCTAACCTCCGTGAAACAAAAAATAGCACAATCACTTTACAGGAGCTTCTGGGCGGCTCTGAAATCCAAGTGCTCAGGTTCAGGCCTTGTAATAAAAGGAAGTTTATGATGGTTTTGTAGTAGAAGTAGAAGCGGGAGGAAAGACCACTTGTGTTACTGAGCACCCTAAAACCAAAAACCTCCTGAGGAGGGTTTACTGGGAGTGAAAGTTGGTTTTAAAGAGAAAGGAGGGGCTGGCATTGTGGCACAGTGGGTTAAACTGCCCCTTGCAACATCAGCATCCCATATGGGAGTGCAGGTTCTTGTCCTGGCTGCTCCCTTTGCAATCCAGCTCCCTGCTAACGTGCCTGGGAAGGCAGCAGAAGATGGCCCAAGTCCTTGGGCCCTTGCTCCCTCATGGGAGACCTGGATAGAGTTCTGGGCTCCTGTCTCCTTTATCATCCCTCCTTACAAATAAAAAAAGAAATCTTAAAAGGGAGGGGGATGGATACTGAACCATAAAGGAAGCAAAACCCCTCATTAATTCAGGCAGTGCTGGAAACATTCTGCATTTGTTCATTTGTTTAGGGGCCAGCGTTGTGCCAGCATCCCATATTGGTACCAGTTCTGGTTCCGGCTGCTCCTCTTACAATCCAGTTCTCTGCTCATGGCCTGGGAACGTAGTAGAAGATGGCCCAAGTGCTTGGACCCCTGTAGCCACGTGGGAGACCTGGAAGAAGCTCCTGGCTCCTGGTTTCAGATTGACCCAGCTCTGGTCATTGCAGATATTTGGGGAAAGAATCAGCGAATGGAAGACTTCTCTCTCTCTCTTTCTCTCTCTCTCTCTCTCTCTCTCTCTCTCTCTCTCTCTGCTTCTCTGTAACTCTGCCTTTCAAATAAATAAATAAATCTTAAAAAAGAATCTGTTTATTTTCACCTAAGAGTAGCACATATTTTAAAATGGTCTCATACAGCACTTGGTGCATATTAGATGCTCAAAATTACAGACACGGACACCCCAAAGCGGCCTAATAATTGGGGAGCCATGCTGAACCTCAAAATTAAGTCACTTATTTAATTGAGCACATTGTTCCAATTAATCTGTAAGGTAGCATCCTAATTTAGCTGCAGAGTAAGAGTTGCTTGTGTTTAGGTTTAAGGAAAATGAGAGGAACTCCTTATCCACATAACATGCTGGGCCTCACACGCCCATCTTGTTTAATAAGTTATCTCTGCCATCCTCTTTCACTGATAGGTAAATTGAATCAGAGCCCCAAGTCACCTGCCCAAAGCCACACAACAAGATGATACAGAGAAAGTGGACTGTTTATTTGCTCATCGGTGGGGTGAAAGCTTCCCCTTCCACATGAAGAGAAAGTTAGAAAATTGTAGACAGGGAGGGAAAACAAATTCTGCATAAGAGAAAACATTTTCTAAAAATACAAATGTGGCCTAATTTAATTTCCAACATGTCTCCACCTTGGGCTTGGAACAAAAAGGTTAAAATGCAATTCTCCAAAACGAAGTTATCCGAGAGAGGAATATTAACCTCCTCGCCCCTTGTACTTTGCCCGTTTTATCTCCTTTTCATTTTTGTTTGTGGGTCTATTCATTTTGGTGAGGCCAGGCACGTTGCTAGGTAACGGGCCCAGGGCGGGCCAGCGCGTTCGTGCGGCTGGCTGGCCCCGGTGGCCGGCTTCCCTAGCGCTAGCTGCCGGCAATGCAGCCTCTCACGGAAGGCATTTATCACTGAGCAGGCCCCGTAATGGCCACTCAGTGGAGGGGAAATTGAGCTGACCCGAAGGCCAAAGCTGTTAGGGAGACTGGTGGGAAGGGTAAGAGGGTCACAACACCCTTTTCCCACCCACTTAGTGGGCAGTAAGCGGTGGAACAGCCCGGCCACTGTTTTCACTAACGTATCCTGAGGCTTTGCACCTGAAATAAATGTTTGCTTGACATTAACGATAAAAAAAGAGGCAAAAAATAAAAATCGGTTTGCTCCAAGAACAATGAGCTGGACAATGAGCAGTGTGATTTGAAGTCAGCCAAAGTTTCCTCCAGATCTGATGTCCATGGCTGTGCCGGAAGGCGGATTTGCAGAGAAAGAGGGTTCTAGATAATTAGTGTCTTCTGGTTGTGGTCTCTGGAACAATGATCTGCCTACCTCCTTGAACTTGAAAGTAGAGACATTAAATCTGTGTGCTTTTTAATCTTTTCCTTCTAAATGGCACCAGTTGTACAAGTATCAAATTGTGATCACCACCAAGTAGATATTATTTTGGTAACCATCCTTTTAAATTTTCTGCTTAATTGTAATGACATTTTCTTTTAATATTTGTGCCTAACATGCGATAAAGTTTAAAATGGAAACCAGGAATTTAAAAACAGTACTCAGGTGTATTTTGCAATGTGGAGTAATAAACATATCTAGTGTGATGCTTTCCTATACAATTAATAGATTTTTTCTGAAACATTATTCAAATCTTTGCCTTTTTTCCAAATTATTTTACATGAACAAATTTTAATACAAAATATAGAAAGTGTCATTACAAACATAAGAAATACACAAGTGACACATGCAAGGATGAAAATTGTTAGAAACAGTCTGAAGGTGATATACAAAACCCTTCATATGAATAGCGTAGGAATCTAGGCAAGCTTCAATTATGGAAGAAAACACAAATTCCTTTCCCAGACTATTTATTTTTTGAATTATTTTTGCATTAGAACTTGAACAAGGACACAAAGTAAGTATTAAGTAAGACTTTTTAAAATGTCCTTGCATGAAAAAATAAGCATTAAACACAGGCTGAATTTCATTTTTCATTATGTTTAATATTAAACATTTTGTAGCTCCAGTATTCTACTTTACATGGATGCAAACTCATCGCTTACTTTTCGAATGAGCAACGTGGAACCACCTATGGGAAATCATCACTCTAGATCTTACTGGCTGTGTGATGGGGACCGGGTACTTTGCTCTGGCTAAGTCCCAGCTTCTCTTAGCGAGGGGCAGGGTGACACCTGCCCTGGCTACCACCCTGGGCACTCGTGAGGAAGAGACGAGGTGTCAGCAGTGAAGCACCACGCTTGGGACTTAGGACTTGGGACCATTTTATTAGTGTGAGAAATACGAAGGCTTGGAGAAACAGAGGGGATGAGAGGTAAGTTCTCGGATGGAATATGGAACTGGGGTTCTCTTCTCCGTGGGGTGGTGAGATGCCAGTGTCACAAGCCCGTTAGGGCCAGGGTGGTTCTTTTGGACGATTTCTCCTCATTTCCGTGCAGGCGAGGGGAACCGCTGCAGCTCTACCTCAGGGGCGAAGGCAGCTGAGCGCACAGGACGGGCCGCCTTCTCCACCCTGGCTCCAGTGCTTTCAAACAACAATATTTAACCAACAGAAGAGGAGACCGAGTCAATCTCGGTTTTAGTGATTCCCCTGAAAGTCATCAAATAAAAATGTGAACTTTAAAATTGATCAGGATTAATTTCACTGACACTGTATCATAACAGATACCTCTTCAGAGACTCATTTGTGGGGCTGCAGATGCAAAGAAAGTAAGGAAAGAAATAAATCAGAATACAATCAGGCAATTAGACTTTTGCCATTGATAGAATACTAAAAATGTCTGATTTATCAAGGCATTAACAAACAGAAGTAAACACAAGACTTATATTTTCTTACAAAATACCTAGAGAGGAAGCTTAAAATAATAACCAAGACCATGTGTATCAATAAATTTAATTTATAAATATTGCTCCATTGCCAAAAGATGCTATTTCATTTGCTAATTTGCAGCGTTTAACAGCCAGGGATGATTTATCCATCCAAGTGCCACTCTGATGTGTAACTGCTGTTCTCATCTCCATGGACATTTTCCTACCCAGATGAGAGAGTTCTGGCGAACGTGAAGCAAGTTTAATAAGTAATGTCAGGTCATCTTTACCTGCAGCCGTTATCTCTGATCTTCAATTAGATAAATATGTTAGAGTACATACTTTTCTCCATAGCGATATCAATCCCAGTGTGATAACAATCAGAAAAATAGTTACCTGTGCCAAGCAGTGCCCTACAAACTTACTCATATTTTCTCATTTAATCCTGACAAGTATTCTATAAAGCAGATATTCTTACCCCTATGCACAGATGAGAAAAGTGAATCTGAGAGAGGTATGGCATTTTCTAAGTGTCAGAGTCAGGATTTGAACCCAGGCCTGTTCAACTCCAAAATACGTGCTCATAATCATTCCAGTATAATTATGTCGGAATATGTGCTTGAGGGAGCAGGTGTTCAGTTTGGTAATTAACCTTCCATATCAGAGTGTCTGTATTTGATACCTGGTTCCAGCTCCTGCCAGTGTGGATGCTCAGAGTCAGCAGTGGTGGCTCAAGTCACTGGGCTCCTGCCACCCCCGTGGGAGACCTGGGTAGCACTCCAGTCTCCAGCACAGGCAGTGCATGCTTCAGGGATGGGTATTTGGGGACTGAATCCGCGAATGGGCACTCTCTGTCCCTAGCTCTCTGCATCTCAAATAATCTTTTTTTTTTTTTTTTTACAGGCAGAGTGGACAGTGAGAGAGAGAGAGAGAGAGAACGGTCTTCCTTTTGCCGTTGGTTCACCCTCCAATGGCCGCCGCGGCCGGTGTGCTGTCGCTGGCGCACCGCGCTGATCCGATGGCAGGAGCCAGGTACTCATCCTGGTCTCCCATGGGGTGCAGGGCCCAAGCACTTGGGCCATCCTCCACTGCACTCCCGGGCCATAGCAGAGAGCTGGCCTGGAAGAGGGGCAACCAGGACAGAATCCGGCACCCCGACCGGGACTAGAACCCAGTGTGCTGGCGCCGCAAGGCGGAGGATTAGCCTAGTGAGCCGCAGCGCCAGCCTCAAATAATCTTGTTTAAGATTTTATTTATATACTTGAGAGGTGGAGTTACAGACAGAGAAAGGGAGACACAGAGAGAGAGAGGTCTTCCATCCACTGGTTCACTCCCCAAATGGCCACAATAGCCGGAGCTGGGCTGATCCAAAGCCAGGAGCCAGGAGCTTCTTCTGGGTCTCCCACATGGGTGCAGGGGCCCAAGCACTTGGGTCATCTTCTACTGCTTTCCTAGGCCATACGCAGGGAGCTGGATTGGAAGAGGAGCAGCCAGGACTAGAACCAGCGCCCATATGGGATGCTGTCACCTCAAGCAGAGACTTAGCCCACCGTGCCACAGCACTGGCCCCTCAAATAATTTTTTAATGTGCTTGAAAGTCTTGGGAATCAAATTTCTTTCAAAACAAACTGCAGTGTTTTTAAAAAAAATTTTTTTATGTATTTCCCCTCCCCTCAAAGAAACCTTTTATTTAAGGAATACAGACTTCATGCATTTCATAAGCACAACTTTAGGAATATAGCGATTCTTCCAAACTGCAGTGTTAATTGCAGAAGCCGCATAATTTAACACAGGCCAATATGTATAAAGTTAAATTTTGGTCAAGGAATTTTAGCTGTGAAAGGACCTGAGGAGGCATCAAAATTAAACTTTCATTTCGCAGATAAAGCTGAGTTGAGATGATATGTGATTGACCAGAGGCAAATCTGCAGTTAGTAAATGGACATATCGTTGGATGATTGCGCCCCCCCCCAATACATTGCTGTAAACTGGCCTCCAATCACCAGTATATTTAAAGTGTCATCCCATACACAACACTTCTATCTACATAAAAATGTTGGGTAAACAAGTCCGCTGCCAGATAAGGAAGAGATGACTTAGAATTCAGAGGCAATCCACCTTTTTTGTTTCATGGTGGCCTTCCACGTGCCAGCCCTGTGCCAGGCTCTGGGACATGAGACAGGAGCTGTCGGTGTAGAGTTGCACAGTAAGAATCAAAAG